TTGTTCTTCCTCTGCGCCTCACGAATCCAACGGTGGAATCCGTCCGGCACCTGCCGGAGATTCTCGCGACTGGACCAGATGAAGCCTCCGGCGGACAAAGTCGGGTATCCGCAGGCTGACCTAAACTTGAGGGTGTGAATGAGATACGTTACATTTTTTTATAAACTTGTTATTCTAACCCTCTTGGCGTTAATTTATTTCTCGTGCTCCTCACTTATTTTTTTAAGGATAAAGAATAACGATAGTTAGTGATAGTAGCCATGAAAACATATTTTCAATTTGGCTTCACAATTTCAAAATCATTAGCAATAATAGCAGTAATAATAGCATAGCTTATATTGGCAATCTACTTTCAAATTTTTTTAAATTGATTCTTTATTATTCTCTTTCAATTTTTTCCAACTATGATTCTTTATCTTTCCTTTCGTTTTTTGTTTTTCAACTCTATTCTCTACCATCTCTACCGCTATTTATATCTATTATATCTATCTACCAATGTCTTTACCTTATTTTTCTCTTTCAATTTTTTTCCAACTCTAATTCTTTATTTTTCTCTTTCAATTTGTTTTCCAACTCGAGGTAGGAAGTAGAGAGACAGATCGAAGTAGAGGTAGATATATAAGGAAGAAATAACTCAGAAAAATGAGAGAGAGAAGCGAAAAGTGGATATTATGAGTTGTAAAAAAATTAACTCAAGATTTTGATTTTGATACCAAAGAAAAAAACTTAGGTGAATAAATGAAAATTGAATAAAATTAATCGAGTAATTGCATTATTACCTAGAGAAATTTGAGATATTCAAATTGGAAAAAAAATTAAACTCGACATAAAAAAGGAAGAAACAAGGAAGAAACAGTTAATAAATAACAGTGGAATAGAACTAAACAAAAATAGCTAGAAAATTTGGTAAAGAAAAACTTAGGGATTTTAAACCGGCTAATAAAAGGAAAATGGACAAAATGTAATTTCACATGGGTCATTGTCCTTTCACTTGATGCTTGTAACATTAGCATGTATTAAAAAATGACGTCGGGTCCATTAATATTAGAAAAATATTTATAAAGATAAAATTATAGCTACTAAAGTTGAAAATACAGTTAGGAATTTAGGATTTAGTTGGAATTCATTTCGTTAGGTTTTGTAGATCAATATCATATTATAAGTGAATAATAAGCTTAAAACTCTACCGGATTTATATGCAATTTATATATAGAACATTTCAATCCTTAGATTTGTTATACTCTCATATAATATATCTCCTCATGTTAATTTTTTACTTTTTGTCCATACTAACATAAACATAAATAAACTCATTAGGATTACATCATCAACCAAAAGATAACACCACAAAATACTAAAAATTATATTTTAATAACTAATAATATTATTAACATTATTAACATTAAAAATTCTATCATATTGTTTAAGTAAGAGTTTCAATTGGATCCAAGAGTTTGAGCTTACAATTTCAAATTAATCATTGCCTAAATCTCACATGTTTATTTCAATAGACAACATCAAATCATTCTCATGTAAAAAATATATATATATTAATATTGATGAGTGAAGTTGTGTTTGATGTTAAGATTAATGTTAGCTATATAAACGAGTGATCGTCCTCCTGAATCCCCACTTCTTAAACACGGTTCTATGGTCGGTATCGTATCCTAGGGGATTAATCAAACAATAATATAATTTTGAAACAAGTAAAG